CGTCGGAAAATGAAACGGGAGCAATTTTATTCGACAATCGTTTTTTATCGCAGACGTCAGGGAGTCGGTTAATGCAATAATAACAATAATACAGAGGGGTGCGTCATGAGTAAGAATATTATCCAAGCCGAAATAGTACGTTTAATAGTCTTTAAAACGATGGCTATAAATTCTTATTAGAAAGGCAGTTTAGATAATTTTTGTTTTTTAACTTACTGTACTCTTACCTTTCGGGGGTGTTTTATAAATTTATTCATTTTTTGTTTAATAAATATATACCTATCAATCTATTTATCTATATATCGGAACAAAGAAAAAAAGTAATATTGGAATTTTTTCATTTTCACATTCTTGGTGCAGTGTCGATTCGATTTCCGGTCGAACGCATTCGATACAGAAATCCATGTACGAGATTTTTGAAACGAATTACTTTCGCAGCGAAAACACCGCCGACGACGACGCGACAAACGAAATTAATTGTTTTCGAATTAAATTTGAAATGTTTCCGACTGTTGTTGTGTTGCCCATACAGCGCCGTCGCTGTTTGTGCGCGTCCATACGAATGTGAAAAACTTTGAGGAATGTTACTAAATAGTAAATAATATGTTCCGATTCGTTATAATACAAATGCTGTCGGATCATGCATTATATTTCGGATGGGTATTCTGAGAGCAAACGCAGTCTGATAAGAAAATGTTCACAGCATAAACATCCGGAAGAAATATTCGGGAATAAAACGAAATTTCAGAAGAAATAATACCTTCGAAAATAACCAATTGAATAGTTGTAGTCAACAAATGGCTGTAGTTTTTCGGTCGTTTTTTTTTAATGTTAGTATTACATTGTATGTAAGAAGTAAAAAACCTCGGGAGTAAAATCGTTAAAAAAAAAAAAAAAGACGTTCTAGGGTAATGGAGACGGGTGCAAACATCGTTATAGTAAATTAATGTACATCTGTAATCAACCGTAAATCATTTCTAACATAAAAACGACTCTGAGCGCAATTCAGTTGATAGTGATGCTTTGTCAACAATATAAATGCTACATAATAGTAAAGTAATTAAATAGACATTATATATTTCCTTTAATAACATTTTTTTTTAATATTGTACCGATTTTCCCATGATTTTTCTCGAATTTTCCTATTTATTGGGAAAACTCCTAGATAAATCGAAAAATAAACTCTTTAAAGTACCTTTCCAGTTAGTTTTTCTTTCAGAAAAAGTGCTACAATTTTAAATCAGAGCAAAAAAAAAAGGTCATAATATTTTTTTTTACTAATACCTATTTTTCGTATATTTCCCGTTTTTCCTGTTCTCCCGTGTCGTTTTATCGGTTTGTCACATTCGTTGAGAAAACTCCTGGGAAAACTGAATGATTATATTTTTAAAGTACCTCTACACACCGATATACTTTTATAAAAGGTGCTAAATTTAAAAATCGGAGCGAGATCTCTGATAGAATAATTGTCCATAGAAAAAAAAACAAACATATTTTTAAAACCATAAGCTTCTACGCTCCACACGGAATCCAAAAGGAGATCGAGAAGTATAGGTAGGATTTATTCTCGATCCTACTCGGACAGTGATTTACTTAACATTGCATTAAAATTGTATTATTATGCTTTTGTAAGCACAGTCACGATTATATTTTTTACAAAAATAATATTGAACGACGCGTAAGTATATAGGTACATATTATATTTAGGTATTTAAGCATTCCGTCGAACCGAATGCAATTGAATTCAATGTAGTTTTTCGAGGATCACTCGCAGATTAACCTCGTCCAATAAACGTTCGGAAAAATAAAACACAATATTATTTGACATTTTTTCCCCGTTTTTATACGCGTTTCCTACGGAGTAACAAGTTCATATTTGATCAGCCGTTAAACATACAAGACAAATATAATATTAAAATAAAAATATACACACGCGTGTACGAAACGATTCGAATAATGAATGTTATAAATATATTTTTATGAACCATACCCCGCCTCCTCCTCCCAAGTAAAAAAAAAAAAAAATTTTTATACAGACAAAGAACCATGTCGTATAGCTTTTGCAGTATTACCGTTACTGTCATTATTATCGTGTTATACATATCGTACTAGGTAATCTTATCTTACGCTCCGCATCAGATACCTGCCCATACTTTGTTCGTATGTAAATATAATATAATATACACGTCGTGTCTACCGCAATCGTGAAAAAAGCGTTTAATAACACGGTGTTTTTTTTTTTTTTTTTTCTTTTCCCCGTACCCTGTTTACGCGCCGGATACACAATGTTATTTGTGTACCGCGCACGCAAATACATAATTAATGAGCGAAAACAATACTCGCGAACGTAATAAAAATCGTATTTTGCCGGGCGCGATTCTTCCCGTCCCCGTAGCCGAGCGTGTTTCATTATGTCGTTACCGTTTCTTATTAGTATTATTGCCGTTATTATTGTTATTGTCGCTGTGTTAAACATTCATTCGGCAAGAATTTAAATTACCACGATGAATTCAAACGGTTTTACTACGGCCCGGCGAACGCGGAACACCGCTATAATATATACAGGTAGAAAACATGATATTATATTAAAATGAAATTTCGTCGGATTGTAATATCAATCTAAAAATATGCATAATGAACAAAAGTAACAATTTGTATATTTGTATTTGTTTGATTTTTGTAAAAAAAAAAAAAAACTATAAAAGAATAATTTAAAATATTAAATCTATTCTGTTACGTAGAGATAGAGGAGACGGACGTTGTATTGTATGCGAGAATACCTAACGAGTAATAATTATACTATTATTGTATATTACTCATTCGGAGAAATCGATAGTGATTTATTATCATCGTGTTTTAACGATAAACGTAGTAAATACTCGAAACGTCGAAAATGCGTTGGACAAAAAAAAAAAAAAAAAAAAGGCGAAAATAGACAATAACGAGACGGTCTACGTTTGATCGGGGTACACTCCGACGGACTTTCGCGTTTTGTGAAACACTATCCATATTAATATATTCGTTTGCGGGAATTTAATTACAAGGCTTCGTCCGTGTACTCATTGATTATAATGGCAAGGTAAAAACAAAAGAAAAATAAATACAAAATCGGTGACCCGTACGTTTAGGTCCGAATTATTTTGTGACTCGATGCTTCCGCAGCCACCACCGGTGTATTAATTATAATAGTTTAAGAGAAAACGAACCCCCCCCCACCAAAAAAAAAAAAAAACTTAAGAGAACGGATTACGGATCGGAACGGATTAAATAATACTGACAGTGATATTTGAAAGTTATACGATCGCGTTCGAAGTAGCGTCTCTTAGCTTTTAAATATTATACCGCAGTGTTTGCTTACCCTTCAGTTGTAACCTTAAGTTATGACGGTAGGTTGTAACCTTCCGTCATAACTTGAGCATAAGAACTATGTATGATTATCATGCGTTATACTTTAACAGTTGGAAAATTTAAAAAATATATTTCAATCGAATATCGACATGTTCTAAAAAAATGTTCGGAATTTAGTGACTGCTAAATAATAATACGTTGTTGACAAAGCAACACTATCGACCGAACTCCGCTCAAGATCGTTTTATCGTTAAAAATGGTTTGTCGGTGCTTGCACGCATATACAGTCAAATTCGCGTATAACGATGCCCGTATATAACGACATTCCGGGTAAAACGATTCCAATCAATGTATTCGGTTGGTTTTATATGTTATGTACAATACTTTTATTCGTATATAACGATATCGGTTATAACGATAATCCGGATATAGCGATGTTATTTTAAAACGAAAAATTGGTTTTTACAATCACCCATAGCGATTAATAATATGCATGTACATTGTGCAGTAAATTTTATTTCGTCCAAATCGATTATTCTTAATCTCATCTGTGACAGATAACGTGTCTCGTACGACCGTATTGTACACAGAATACCTACGTTTCTTAGTCGTTTAGTTGCCGTTTTGATTGCTATCCGTTTAGACACGATCCGATTAAGTTAAAAATGGCAAATAAAAGAAGACGCTGTTTCACTATTGCTGAAAAAGTGAAAATAATTGAACGTTTAGAAAGTGGTGTTTCCANATTTATAAAGTTGGTTTTTCTCCCTGCAAACACGACCTCTGTGTTACAACCTTTGGATCAAGGTATTATTAAAGCATTAAAAGTGAAATTTCGGAAAAAACTATTACCCAAAATTATTAATCAAGAGGAACAGGGATAAGATATTCAAATTTCAGTATTAGATGCAATTTTAATGATTTCCGATGCATGGAATGATATTTCTACCACTACAATAAGAAACTGTTTCCACCGCGCTGGATTCAAAGCTACGGTAAACGACGAAACAGAAATAGTAAATGAAACAAATTTGGACACAAGTCTATTTTGAATGAAAAAAATAATGATTCAAGTGAACAAGGTGACGAAGAAAACGAAGAAATAGTATTCAAAGTACCATCTATTTCGGAAATGTATTTTTATATTGATCAGGTGCGTACTTTTGTTTCGGTAAACAGTGACATAAATACGCCAGAAGTATCAATGTCATTAAATAATATTTCTAATTTTGTAAAAAAAATCATATTCTAATTATAAACAAACCACTATTAAAGATTATTTTTCAAACAAATCGTAAACATGTACTATATACCTATATTATAATATGTATTTTTATAAAAATTTATTTAAATATCTTGAATGTTAAAATATGTAATCTCAAATAAAATTAAAAGTAAAAAATATGTTTAATAAATCAATTTTTCAAAAAAATCATGTTACTTTTTATGATCCGGACATAACGAAGTCCGGTTATAACGTTTAGATTCCCTAGGTCCCACCCTAGAAAATCGTTATAAGCGAATTTGACTGTATTAAATTCCTACTCCACTACCTTCAAAACTTCTCACCTATAACAGAGCCTGCGTCCATTCCCATTATCCTAGGAGAGCTTTTTGTCTATTTATATCCAAAAACACTAATATCCTTAAGTCAATAATTATTATGATCCAATATTTTCTTGCACTTAGTGACGTGAATTATCGGACATCGAATTTGAACGCTAGGTAGTTTTAATGCCGACGGCTTAAAACGTGATAGGTAAAACACGAGATTTGATATTGATTCGATTGAACGGTTAGACATGGCGATCCGCGGGCCTCCGGTGCTCCGGTAGAAAAACATCGGTCCGCGTTATTGCTTGACGACCGTCGATTAAATAGTATTAATTCGTTTATTGATATCGATTATCACGACACACCGAATAACTGTATTGTTAAAGTTCTCCTTACATTACTTACACTCGCCCGATTTCGCCGCGAAACTCCGCGTCGTAATGAAGTGTTTTTATCGTCACCGTACGACAAAACGATTTCCCCTGGCCCGTCCACCCACTTCCCGGACAGATGACTACAATAATAATAATACAAGTTTTAAAACTGAACCGCTAGTCCCGGTCGACGTATTTGTGTCCTATTTTTTACAAATCCCCGCGCCTAACCTAAATGCCGAGACGACCCTATTATTATTATCGTTATTATTATCGCCGTTGTCGCCGGTACTTTTATTATTATTATTTTTTTTTTTTTACATTGTTCTTTTCCTTTCTTTTTTTTTTTTCATTTCCCGACGTCGTAAACTCGCGCTACAAAGCCGCTTTCAGTTGGGCGGGACGGCCGATGGGGCGAAGGGATTCGGACATTATATTGCGTTTATGACGACGAAACGATCGTTTTTGCGTTTCTCCTCCGAGCGGCAGCAGCAGCAGCAGCGACCGAAACGACGTGTAGTATTCCGAGCCATTTGCTCGGCGACCGTATTTTATCACCTACGTTTCGACGCACCGGGCGTATTATATTATTATATATACACAGTTACTTATGATCGAAAATTTCCTGGACCGGGTCTTCTTCGATTCGGGCGGAAAACCGCACTTTAAATATTGCGGCAAAAAAAAAAAAAATAATAATAATAAAAACTATTCGCCAAAAGCCCGCCGCGTATCCCGCGGACTCGCGGGGCCATTTCGTCACGATTTCCCTTTGGCGGTATATTTCATTTTTTTTTTTTAACAAAAAGTCAATAACACTATATCGGTACGGCTTATATTGATCGTTCCGCGAGAAAATGACACGATATTAATATAAAAAATTCTCAAACGGGATTATTGCGGAACGCCGCGGAGTAACGTGCGCGCGATCATATTATTTGAAATTATTGTATACTTATTTATTTGAAAAATTCAACGAGCCATAAATGACGAGATAAAAAATATAAAGTTTTATCGGTTTGAAATCGTCTATTTTTTACGGCCATCGCGTTATTATTGCACTTGCAGGTACCTCTATTTGTATACTATATGTGACGAAGATTTTTAGTTTTTTTTTTCTCCGACGTAACAATATGAAAATCGAGTTTAAACGTTTACCCGGCTTGAAACGATATTGTAACATACGTACTTATTGAAAAACGGTGAAAAATATATCGCGACGAGACTTAAAAGCGGAAAACATTAACAACGAAAGTAGGCGGCGATAAACGAATTAATTATTTACCGTAGAAGGCGACATTTTTTTTTCCCCGGGAAATTCCATTGTATTCTCAATCCAATTACACCGTATACGGTACATTGTGTTGTATAGCAATGCGCTATAAAAACCGACCAAACTAAAAGATCGGATATTTGATTTTTCTTCGTTTCGGATTCGAATTACCAAAAGTTATAGGTATTGCACCATCGCGGTGAATATTTATCGCCGTGCTCTTTTGCGAGTGCCGCAAACTTAGCTCGTTTAAGAAGGAAACTATCCCCGGAGTCTTCACTGGGGTTCGGCGGCGGAGGGAAATTATTAATCTATAATATGTACGGTGCACCGAGAGAATCACTATACTCGTAGTGAGGTGGTGAGGAAGGGAAAGCGCCGCTCAGTTGAAAATAATTGGGAAACCATATTAGGTCGTGTAGGAAATGGGAAATGGAAAATTGAAATATAATTGCTTAATTTATCACTACCTAGATCATTAGAGATCCGAGTTTTACTATACTACGCAGGGTTGTTATCAATACGTTATTAACCGAAAAAAGTTTCGCCGTCGTTTGGCTTCCGGCTATGGAGTAACCCGAACGAACATTAAGGTATTTCAATTTCATTTCAGTACGAGATTTCAGATACTGCGGGGACTTCGAGGAACTGTGCTATATAAGTTAATTAGCTTGCTTTTTTTTTTTTTTTCCGAACTTGTTCATAAATTAGTCCGTAAAATATAATTCGTAATTGGACCGAAGTAACGGTTAAAAAAAAAATGCGTGTACGTATAATTTGTCGGTTGTCATAGCAGATAACATAGTGAAAACGTGAAATTTCGGAATTCCGGAATTCGATTAACGAAACAAACGTAACGGCCGGATTGAAAATTAATTTAATTATATCTACCGTAATATTATACGTATGCATTATAATGATTGGTTATTAACGTGTAATTCGTGCAGAATCGTATCGTAGGTACGAATACCGGTTTGGAAAAGTTAAACGGGCGCCTACAAATGTCCCACGGCCGAAGTTCCGAGTTTATTGCTTTACATTCCTAGCCGTGTAAAAAAAAAAAAAAAAAAAAAAAAATTGAATGATATTCCCTTACTCCCATATTATAGTTTTACTGCGGTATACGGCAGAGATGTGGAATTTCCGACCCCACTTTTGCGGGACAGTTAAATAAAATACTCGGGAAGTCGTATCCGGCCACTTTTTACGTACACCGCGGCACTTCAGTGTAAAACCACGGAGTCGGTTATAAACGTTAAAAACGTATAGAGACAAGGCGACGGTTTCCATGGAGACCGCACAGTCTATTATATTAATTTCATCACTTCAAGTCGTTCGTTACACGTAAGTGGAGTTTGTACATTGCCGCAATAAACGGTTTACGTGAAAACTGTAATATAATAGGTACACATAATCCATAAAATAATTTCATACCACTCGTTTACTGAAACGAACGATTTTCATGAACTATAATTCAGTGGCGCCAAACCACTGTACCCCGGCGGCCGTAATAAATATAATGGCCGGGCGACGCGTCCATATGGTGTAGTAAAAAAAAAAATACAGTCGACCAATAAATACTAAAATATTTAAGAGTAAAAAGACAAATATTGTAGTGCGTCCGACAGTAGATTTCGTGCGTAGTGATAAAATTTTATTTAAAAAAAAAGCGTGTATCCATACATTTATTTACCGGCAGTATGTACAAAAATGCTACGTCGATCCTTAATCTCTAATAAACAAATTGTATACTTGCCATAGTGAATTTTTTTTTTTTTTTTAGTTCGGCGTCACTGAATTAAATATTACAACAGACGCGCGTTTTTCGTAAACGTGAGAAAATATACTAGTTAACCGATTCGATATTAGTGTTCCGAAATAATAGAAATTGGTTGTTAATTTTTTTTTTCCGTCTGTAAACGACAAATCGACCAAAAATTTCGATCTTGTTTTCATGTGTAGCGCGTCTTCTCCAATATGAAATGTGGTCTTGTCGGTAAATCGGAAGATCGGTTTTTAATTTTAATCGCGGTTTTCTTTACGATTCGGGAAAACTGGATATAAGTAGTTAAATTGTCTACGATTTATTTGTAATTTGAAAAAATCCTAGATAACTGCAATACTCGCAGAACACTGATATTAGATTTTGGTTAACGTGGTCAAAGTTCCAAAAATTTATGGCGATTTTCGAGCTATTTATAGGCATTTAAAATCGTTGTGAGTTTTTTCCGGTGTTTCACAGAACCACAATAATCGGTTAACTTTCTGTGTTCGTTTTTGTGGTTTTTGAAACTAAAGTTTTAAGCGATTACAACATTCGTGTTTTAAAAATCGTTTTATAGCCGCCTACTTCATTTCGCGCATGTATATTATATTCTGTAATACCCGACAATGTCGAACGACTGCGGTAATACGAATGTTGTTCGTCTGACACGTACGTTTATTCTACTCTTAAAAAATATCACGGTTCGAAAAAATAATCGTCAATTTCGAACGCGACATTTCAATAAAAAAATAATAATTACGAAATATATTAATACACTAGGGATTTTATTTATTTATTTCTTTTTTCTTTTTTTTTTTTTTTTGATCACGGATACCTTCGGGATACGGCTCCGGGTCTTTCGAGTATTTTTATTTATTTTGTTTTACTAAAATATCTCTGCTCCGTGTGCGTACATGGATTTGTTTTTATCGGTCACGGAATAAAAAAACTAAATCCCGAATCGTCCCGCAAAACCTAATACGAACCCCCCGGATAAGGTCCATAATATTATCCAGGCTACGTGATTTAAATGTTATTAAAGCGTCATGTTTGTATAATATTGTATACACGTTAATAAAAAAAATAAAAAAATATTACGGTTTCGGTCACTGCCCTGGCCCGACTTTTCTCGCCTCGGTGCGAGTCAGAAATGCGATATACCTACCCGGTTGATAATTTATTTCCAAATTTCAATTCGATAACCATCGCCCGTCCGAAACACATTTTTGCCACAGTCTGTTATATTATTTTTTTTTTTTATAACGTTAGAACACTAAACACTTATTTCGTATTGGCATTTTAGTTTAGTTGATTTTTCAGTTGTTCCCTGCAGGGAACTACGTATACGAAAAATATTATTATTGCGTTGTACCGTCTGCGTTCAATTACCTCAATCAATATAAACTTTACTGCGCAAAACTTTTTAAGCATGTTAACTGTCCCAAATAGTATTATACGGAATAAAAAAAAAGAAAAAAAAAAAAAAAGAATATAACATAATAACATTGTAAAACGAAAACGAACGAATGTCTCTCGAACAAAAACGTTCAGAATCTAAAACGCACACGTCACTTTTAGAAAAAATATATAAAAAAAAAAAAGGAAAAAAATAATAACATACGTTTCGTACAATGCGTTATTTTCTCATCGCTGTGTAGAAAAAAAAAAACGGTTTTTAAATTATACAATAATAGCTTGAAAATAATAATGTGTACATTTATCAAAGTACTGTGACGACTATGATAGATGTATATATGTACGCGATCGCCACCAATAGACCAAAAAGCTCGTAAATATAATATAATACCATATTATTATTTCAAATTTTTTATTCTGGTAGCATGAAAAATGAAACAATTTATTTTACGGAATACAGCTATGTGTTTCCGGAAAACACGTTTAAGGTCAGGCAAGTGGTTAATTTGTTTTCATGTATGCTCGGTGGAGCATTGTATCAAATATTTATCGAAATTTTCAGGTAGTGCACCCCTAAGACCTTTTTTCGTTTGTCTTGGAAACAGCATGAAAAACACTGCTTACGCTTCTCCGCTCAGAATCGTTCTTTCACTTGCAATGATATATCGTCGCATTCGGCGTATAAACTATTCTACCGTGTACATCTTACCTTCTTGACTACCTACCTAAAACAGTTGCTTTCCCGTAAATCAGTATCAACTTTTTAAAAACGATCTACAGGTCACCTCATTTAATTTCACCTTTACAGCTTCCGTTGTAAACTTTAAGATCCTCTATGTATATTCGAGTGGCAGATCATGTTTCGCAAGTATCCGTTACTGTTGGTCGTGAGTAAACTAAGTATACCTATCTACAATTTTTCTCCGGTCTTCCTTGGATATATAGCGTTCTCGACTTGGTATAATTTATTCAAGCAGAAATATGCTCGATTCACTAAATTTGACTTTATTATGTATACCATTTTTACCAGTTAACGTTTGCCCCGAAAGATTAAAAATTTACAATAATTTATTTTTAAAGAAAAATAATTCTGTTTAGGATAAAAAAAAACAAAAAACAAAAATGATTATAATAATAATAATAAAACAGTACGTCTGATAAAATGTTTTATCGTGTTTTACGATTATAGTATAAACATATCATCGCGAGTCGTTTCGAATACGCGAGGGGTCGTTTTTTAAAAATTTAAACGCTATCCTTTTCGTTGATTCTATCATAATAATATATATATATATATATATATTAGCACAGCCCTCATTGTGAGTCGCGATTGGTCGTTTCAAAGGTCGAACCGTGACGTATCCGACCGTGGACGGAGCCGTTCTGATCAACTAGTATATATTATATTAACGGTGCGGATCAGTGAACAATCGGGGACTATTTATTGGCTGTGTGTGTCGTGCATAATATAGCGTCAAATCGAAATTCCGCCAACACGATGCACAGACGACGTCGTCGTTTGATCCGCACGAAATGCGTTGAAATATTTGCACATTCG